GGTTCCTAACTTTTAATAGGGCAGAAGAAAATGCGCTCCCACCTATCGTTAGTGGTATCAGCGAATGCATGGCAAGTGTGTTTCAGAAGGTATTGGGTCGGAGCAGAAGACTAAAAGGAAAGAGGACAGGGGGGGGGGAGGAACAGTGAGTGCGCGTGCGTGTGTGTGTTTGCGGGAGAGAGCGAGAGAGCGAGAGAGAGAGAAAGAGAGAGAGAGAGAGAGACAGAGACAGAGACAGAGAGAGAGAGAGAGAGAGAGAGAGAGAGAGCGAGTAGAACACGTGCAAATGGGACACAATGAATACAACACAGGGTGCTGCATGGTCACACAAACAAACAGCACGGTAAAAGAAAATGCAAGGAAACACGTAGTGTAGTGAACAGGTAGCGCGCATCTCTTTACCCCATCTCTGTCCTTGTCCCTCCCCGTGAGTGCGTGTACGTGAGCGCGCCTGTGTGAGCGAGAAGCTCTTCTTATCCCCACGTGTTCTGTGCAGCCTCTGTGCCGGACCACGCGGCAACATTCATGCAGATTAAGCAGGTGGCTCGCTGAGAGCTGTGCGCAGGGCGAGTGGAGGGGCAGGAGGGCGGGCGCTGTGCGGCCCCGCGTCTCTCTCTCTCTCTCTCGCTCTCGCTCTCTCTCTCTCACTTGCTGCTCGGGCCCGGCTATTCTCCAGGTTCAGCGCTCGCCCGGCCGGCGCCACCTCAAACAAGAACCCGTCGAGCAGCCCGGCCCGGGCTCTGGAACCCTCCAAAAGGCTGGCCCTGCCCCGCCCTGCCCCGTCCCGGCTTCGCTACTACGTTTTGCTCGGCCAACATACAGACTGTGGCATGGCCCAAGGATGGCCTCCGCGCGCTGCCGCGCCTGGCCTGGCCCCCCGCGGACCGCGCGGTCAGGCGTGGTGGGCACGGCACCAAGGACACCCCGCCCCGCCCCGCCCCGCTCCGGGTGGCCACGCCCCGCCTAACGCGCTTCTGCTGCGCGGTCCGAGCTCTGGCCCGGCCGGCTCTGCTATCTCGATCGCTGGGTCCGCATCAGCAATCTCTCTCGCGCTCACGGAGGAACGCCCCCCTCCCCCGCCTCCTCCTCGTCTTTCTCGCACGTGGCGCCGACCGAAAGTAACTTAACTTTATTGTGTTGGGTGGCCGTGGCCCGGGCCGCGCGGCCACGGACAAGCCATGGACAAGCCGGACTGGTCGCGGCCAAGGACGACTGGGCGGCGGCGCGCGGCCAGGTGCGGAGCCGTGCGGACCGGGTGGGAGGATGGGACCGCAGCGCCTCGCTTCGGCTGGGCTGGGCGTGCGGACTAGATCACTGTAAATGAGCTGCGACCGAGGCTGCGACCGTGAGTGGAGACGCTACGGTACGGGCGCAGGAGGTCCGCTGGGTTGGGCACAGGACTGCACGCTCAGAGAGAGAGAGAGAGAGAGAGAGAGAGAGAGAGAGAGAGAGAGAGAGAGAGAGAGAGAGAGACGTGGTGGGACTTTCAAACGTGGTGGGGCGAGGAGGGTCCGAGCTGGGCGGGGTGAGGTGGGCCGGGTCTGAGCGGGGCGTGCTCGTTAGGCCTTGCGGGAGGCTAAAGTCCGATGGCATTAAACGGATATGAAATCCTTCAGACGGGGCGAGGGTGTTTCACCTGGAAAAACAAAAACAAACGAAGCACAAGCCCTAATCAGTAACACAGAAAAATTAAACAACGAATAAAAGCGGATGTAGTTTTTTTAACAAAGCTACCGCAGACAAAAAGGAAAATTTGTTTCGTAATCTCACTCATTCCATTAAAATGTATGCATACTAAAGTAAAACTATCCAAAAAAGTCACAAAAAATAAATTTGTGAAAAATTCTAATCGACAAAGTAAAGTGTTCTTTTCACTTCCCGGTGGCGCTATAGCACGGCTAGCACCCTTGTCCGCCCCGGCGGCCCCGGCTGTCGCAACACTTATGCTGCAATTACGGGCCAGCCGTGGAGCTAATGCCGTCCGAGCGGGGCTGAGCGGAGCTGAGCGCTCATCCCTGGCCCCTGGCGCCCCTGGGCTGGGCCTGGTGGTCGGCACGGGGCAGAGCGGGAGCGAAGAGGAGATTCTACTCCCACTCTTTGTTTCCCTCCCTCCCTCCC